GACGATGACGTGAACAGCGCTGCGTCACACGGACTAACTGCAACGCCTGAAAATTATCTATGTACAGACTATCTACAGGCTGAAATGAAATGTTTGTTTTAGCCAACACTAGTCTCCATCCATCCATCCATCCATCTTCTTCCGCTTATCCGGGATCGGGTCGCGGGGGCAGCAGCTTCAGAAGGGAGGCCCAGACTTCCCTCTCCCCAGCCACTTCTTCCAGCTCCTCCGGGAGAACCCCAAGGCGTTCCCAGGCCAGCCGAGAGACATAGTCCCTCCAGCGTGTCCTGGGTCTTCCTCAGGGCCTCCTCCCGGTGGGACGTGCCCAGAACACCTCACCAGGGAGGCGTCCAGGAGGCATCCTGACCAGATGCCCGAGCCACCTCAACTGGCTCCTCTCGACGTGGAGGAGCAGTGGCTCTACTCTGAGTCCCTCCCGGATGACTAGTCTATTTTTCTTTTATTATGCTTCTAAATCACAAACAACCCTGTCACAAACGATCAACATTTAAAACTCATTTAAGCTTCTATTTTTAATTCAGACACATTAAGAGACAAATGAAAGGCTCCAGTGCCATAATTGGTGCTTTTTCATTTATTTTTGAGTGGTTGGTAAGCCACAAAACCCTGACCTTTGAACCTTTTAGTTATCAACTAAAGAAATAAACTGTGGTGTATTCTGACAATGTACAAATTGGAACCAGTTTTAAATTAGATCTTTAGCTACTTTATTACACCATTTATTTAAATTTGTTTGGTTAAAACTAGAAGCCAGATTTAAAATTGTAATTTAGTATAAGTGGGCTAATAAAGTTGAAACAGACAAACCTGCAACTGAATAAAGGAATAAGCGTTTTAGTCTGTTTTTATGTACCCTCATTGATCTGTAACATCTTGCTGAAAGGAGGAGCTGGAAAAGGTTATGTCCTCGGTGAGTAATGTCTTTGAAAATACTTTTTGCCCTTTTCAAACAGGAACAGCTCTACAGCTGTTTGACCTGTGGCAACTGAAAACAAGGCAATGTTCTGTGCTGCTTTTACAGAAAGAGCTATTTCAGGGTCTTGGATGCAGCTGGAAAACTAAACCATCAAGTAGCTTGTCAGGATGTTTTCTGTTGAGCATTTTGAGAAACTGACCAGCAGTTCTGAGGGAGTTTAGTTCTCCTTAACTTTCTGAAACGGTGAAGGGACTGAGAGGCTTTTTGTCCTTGTTGATGGTTATTAGCTGTGATTCTTTTTCTAATTTTTGGTGCTATAAAATCTAAGTATTTTTGCCTTCGACTTTCTGGTTTTCAAAAACAAGTTTTTTGTCACTATGCCTAGTGTATCTTTTTTACGCATTTTTTTCATGTTTGATTCATGTACGGATAAAAAAAAACGGTTGGAAAGTGTGTGGGCTGAGCACACAGCCCTGAGGTACTCCTGTGCTAACGGTGAGCATTCACCCTTATATCTCAGTAAGAGCTGCAGCTGTAGGGATAACGTCAAAATACTGGTCACCTAATGTGTCTCTATTATTAGTATGTAGTTACCATCTTATTAGAATAAAAACATTTCAATTCCAGGGTGTCCACACATCCTTAAAAAGTCTTAAACTTGTGTGTCTAAAATTAAAGCCATGAATGTCTTAAATTCATTAAGGAAATGTAAGTTGGCCTTAAATATTTTAATTACAAGTCTTAAATTTTATAGTGGCAGGGCTATTCAATTTAATTCAATTCAGTTTAATAATATAGTGTTAATTCACAATGCATGTCTTCTCAACGCATTTTACAAAAATATTTAATTGCACATGCATTCCAATTTGTCGTAATTATCAAAATTGGTCCTAGTTATCAATGTAGATTTTTTTTTCTTGAGGCAACTAGCTGCTAATATATATCCTTGTTAGCTATCTAGCTTGCTAGCTAGGGGGAAACAATCCAGTGTCACAATTGTTATTATGCTTGATCATAATGTATTAAGTACCCCCAACCATCCTCTATATTTATAGATTTTTCAGTCTTAAATTTAATTCAAAGTGGCAATAAAAGGTCTAAAAAAGTCTTACATTTTACTTGCTGAAACCTACAGATACCTTGAATTCAGTTTATTTCCAATTTGTTTCTTCCTCTGCTTTTACTGACCTGCTTTTCACACATTTCAGTGTCAGGAGGTCGTAGTCGCCTCCACCTGCTGGACCTGGGGAGCTGTGATGCTAAAGCCCTGGGAGGAGGCGGCGGCGGGAAAAGCAGAGAAAGCTCTTCACCAAGCTCAGCTCCTCTGTGCCTTTCCCTGTCCGCCCTCGGGAACGTGATTCTGGCCCTGGTCAACGGCAGCAAACACATTCCCTACAAGTAGGTTGGTGTGTGTGTGTGTGTGTGTGTGTGTGTGTGTGTGTGTGTGTGTGTGTGTGTGTGTGTGTGTGTGTGTGCGTGCGTGTGTGTGTGTGTGTGTGGGCGGGGAGTGCAGAGAGGAAGTGTGCAAAAATGAACTGATTGGATCCTGAAGAGGAGAGAAGAAGAGGCCAAATTATCAAATGTGAGATAAATGTGGCGAGGAGTGAGGCAAAGACTGAGTAGGAGGACAGGAAGAGAGGAGGAGAGCAGAGAAGACGTTCCTATAGATGCTTCAGGTTTGGGGAACTTAACATTTTAAACAACAACAGATGCTCCTCCATATTCATAAATATTCTGGTTTACAGACCAGCAAAGATGAGAAAGGGGAGATAATAAATTGTAACCTGAGCTAAAAAGTTGTAAAGAGAGAGAAAAAGGAAGATAATAAAAAAATGTTGAAACAGAATTAACTTGAATATGAGATTGTAGAAAATTAGGAAAAAACTGACATTCCCCTTCCTGGTATCCAGAAAGAAGGAATAATGCAAAGAAAACAGACAAACAAAAATTTGTGCTGCAAATACATTTGAAAAGTAATGAAAGAAACATTACTGAAAAATAAAAATTAATAGAAAGGATAAACAATTAAATCAGAAATATTTGATAATAAATGTAGAAAAATAGCTGGAAAATTTTTTTATGTATTGATTTTAATATCCTGAAGCAGCTGATTGTGAAGCCATAAATATTCAGGTGAACTTTTTACTTCTCTCGTTTCTTTTATCTTTTAAAGTTGTGTATCTGTTGTTTTTTTTTGCAAGGTTAATTTAATCTCTGTCTTTTGAATTTACATTGCAAAACAACCTAATGCTTATATAAGCACTGAAGAGGCACACAGAGCTTCGCCTGGTGACTCAGACTGGAGTCAGAAACTGATTATTTTAAAGGCCATGCATCATCATTTATACAACATCTCCTTTTCAAAAGGCTGTTCACTCACATAGCTCTTCATAGTTACATTATTCTCTTTAAATTGAGCTGATCAGTGGATTATTTGTGTTATTAATCAATAGTATATTCCAATAATCGATGTGCGACAGTTTGACAGTGTAAAACATTTGAGCAGCTTTTACTGTCTTCTGCTCTCTAAGTCAAATAAATTTAACCTAAACCTAAATATTTAGGTTCAAAACATTTAGGTTTTGAACCTAAATGTGAGTTTGTGAAAGATAAACTTACAGTAGTTATTATTACAGTGTTAACTTATTAATTTTGTCAAACCTCCAAGAGTTAATAAACTTGAGTTTTTAGGTTGGCACTTGAAAAACTGAAAGAAGAAAAGGACAGGAATGGGAACTATTTCCCAGAATGCTTAGCGACTGTTTTTGTGTCCTGAGATGGAAGTGTGTCACGTTGATCTGTCTCCTGTGTTTTATTAAGACAATGTTTATTTTAAATCTTGAGGATAATCTCCAGTTCATACTAAAAGTTTCTGGCCTGAATTCATTGTAATGTTTAATAAAATTTTGTTCATTCAATTCTTGTTAACCCTAACCCCATCAAGAATTTAAATTATTATAAAGTAAAACAGTAGTTATTTTAACTTAATACTAGAGAAATGTAGCTCTTTAACCAGGTGAGGGCAGTTTTTTCTTACATATTGTGAAATAATTATTTGGTTTAAATTGCAGCATTAAGTTAAAACTCACAATTCAAGATTAATGAACTTAAAACATTTTTTAGACAACCTGTCTCTTGTTGTTAAATCAACTTCATGAACTATAATTGAGTAAAAACCAAAACAATTTTCTTGTTGGCTTAAGTTGCATTTTCAAGGCAGCAGATGGATTTTCATTTCCAAGTTAAACCACCTTCAAATGTTTTACAGTGTAGTAGCTTTACTGACTTATAAAATCTTTACTCAAAAGACAAGAAATGTCACAGAATAAGTAAACAACACAGGCTAAAAATCTTTTTCTCCTTTTTTAAAAAAAAACTTAAGAGCATTCCTTAAGTAGAAGCTTTAAAAATGCTAATTTAACGACCGTCAGTGACCGCTGCAGCCACTCAAATGTTTTACAGTGCATGATCAGGCACTCCACCTCATGTATCTGCTGTGATTTGCATGGCTGCTCATTGCTGCTTTTGGTTTGTGCGATCATGCAGGCACATGGCAGAAACTCGAGGCGCTTGGGCATGAGGAAATGGCCGAGGGGATTTGCAGAAGTTCAGAACGAGCGTCATAGTGGCAAAAAACATGATTTCAGATATTTTTTTGGCAAAGCCATAGGTTCCAGACCGGCTGCTCGGAGTATTGATTTTCACACTCTGCTCTCTCTAAGGGTTTACATGGAGAGGCCGAAAAAGAATAACACATGCAGAGAGGAGCAGTTTTCTGGCTGAAAATAACTTGGTGATGGCAGAGCTGGCTGAAGATGGAGGAAAGAGAACAAGAAGTCAAAAATTATTCATCACATTTTAGAAGTAATCACAGACTGTATATATGAATTACAACCATGAAAAATAGAAATGTACAGTTACAATTTTGAGTGGAAATCGGAAAAAACATTATTTGATGTGTTTGGTATTGATTCAAGCAAAGTTGTTTTTTTTAAGCTTCTAGTGCAAATATTTTTGTTTTGTCTCATTTTGAGTGTTTTAACTTGGAAATTAACTTTTCAGCAACATAGAAGAGCTTGTTTGAAGTCAATGATTCATAAATACAGATTTTTTAAAACGTATTTATTCCACTAACAGATTTTTAAACTTATAACATTGGAATAATGTCTAAACACAGCAAAACTCCACTGCACTGAACCCCATTGAAAACCTCCTGGTTATTCCACCAAATGTAGATTTCTGATCTCTTCCTGAGTTAAAACATTAGTGTTGCTGTTTTTAAATGAATATGAACTGGTTTTATTTACATTATTTGATTTCTGAAACACTGCATCTTTTTCAGAAACATTTAGTGTGAACACGACATTATCCTCAAGCATTAAAATAAACATTTACCTTAACACAAGAGTCAGATCAACGTAACACACTTCCATCTCAGGATACAAAAACAGCCGCTCAGCATTCTGGGAAATAGTTCCCACTCCCGTCTTTTTCTTCTTTCAGTTTTTAAGTGCTAACCTAAAAACTCTTTTAACTCTTAATATAAAAGTTAACACAACCTACTGCTGTAAGTTTATCTTTCACAAACTCACATTTAGGTTCAAAATCTAAAACTCGTTAAATTTATTTGGCTTAAAGAGCAGAAGACAGTAGACACAACTAAGTGAAATGTTTTACAGTGTGGACCCCATGCGGGGATGCATCTGCATGCTGAGCGCCAAGCGTGGGCTCTTTCCTCATGCTTTGGCTTCTACTTACTGCCCAAAATTTCTTAGGTTAATTGCCCTCAGTGTTAAGGGCAGTTTAGAGAGATGCAGCCTTTCTGTGACCCCGCACCAATAAACACATACAGACAATGGATGGATTGATCTTGATTTTAACCTTATGCAAAACGTGATGCTCTGGGATTTAAAATGCTAGACTGATTATTGATAGTTCACCCACGAAGATCATAATTTCACAAGTCGAAAGTTTTCTTTCCTAGAGAAGATCTAGTTATAGATTTAGCAGAAACTGAGCGCTGCGATCTAATCCAACAAGCTCAGCACTTGAATTAATATCCAAATGAATACTTCATGAGTCATGAGTTTACCTACATTAATCTCAGGGAGCGACGCAGAGATAGAGGCAGATTTAAGGAGGGAGAGGAGGGTTTGCTGAAGCCCACGGCAGAAGAGGAGAGGAAGAGAGCAGTGATGAAAAAGAGGAGGTCAGGGTAGGAGTGTGTGCATAATTTGTGTGTGTGTCTGTGAATGTACACATGACTGCAGGCTGTGTTTTTTTATAAAAAAAGAAAAAGGACAACAGCATGAGTTAACGGGATACAGAGGAGCTGTTCTCTGTCAACCTGCTGCTGCACACACAGATCTGAGATATAAATGATTACAGCGGCCCACCCAGGAGAAAGTCTTCTCTTAAACACACAGCCTAGTTTTACTTCCCACCATCTGTTAATGTAAACCTCTCACAAGACTCTAATGTTAGACTGTATAAGATCTAAACAGAGTTTCCTGACAACCTTTCTTTTACTTTTGTAACAAATTAGCTGTTTTTTTTTAAATATATATTTTTGACAAATATTTAAATTTGCGAAAAGCACAGTGCCTCGCAAAAGTATTCACACTGCTTGAAATGTTTACATTCCTTTTGATATAAACACAAATAGCTGAATGTGAAGACAGGACAAATGTAAGTCAGTAAGTATAATTAATAGTATGGAAGAAAATAAACACTGGGCAATATGGCAGCATCATGCTGTGTGGGATGCTTTTCTTAAGCAGGAGCAGGAAATAGATGGAAAAACCTGCAGATGACTTGAGATTCACCTTTAGAAATTACCCCAGTCATAATCAGAGCTACAGTAATAATTATGGATACACAATATTATCGGCATGATATTGGTATCGACCGATATTAGCTTTAATATCGGACATCGGCCAGTCCGTCAAAATAACTCACAGATATAAAAGGTGTTGTTTTTATATGACAAACCAGTGACAATGAAGCCTGCAGCAAAGCACAACGTCAGATCTGAACTGTTTGAGTGTCTTTGTCTTAGAGAGAGCAGAAGTCATGAATAAATTTGACATTAAACATAATGCAAGTTGAAAGTGTTGCATCGTCTTCAGCCTCCTTTTAGCATGTGTTATTGGTATCGGTTATTGGCCAAATGAGTTTTAGTATATCGGCATATGGGATATCGACCAAAAACCCAATATTGTGCATCTCTACTAATAATAGCAGGTTCATTAGTCAGAATGGCTCAGTCAAAGTCCAGACCTGAAGCAAAAATGTCAGTTTCCTAATATAAAAAATTCATACAGATATATCCCAAAAAACCTGAAGCTGTAACTGTGTTTTAAGGTGGTTTTACAAAATACTGAATCAGGAGGACACATTGTACACTTTTCAGGTCTTTAGTTGAAAAAAAAAAATATTTCCTGGAAAGTCTAAATTTATTTTGACTGTTTGGTGCATAAATGCCTCTTTCCTAGTCAAACAGATCAAACTGCACTACACTCCTTACGCACTGACACACAAATAAATCGGAAACTTGAGATTCTGAAAAGTCCAAGAGGAGTGAACACTTTCTCAAGGAGCTGTAATTACTCCAATCTGTCAGACAAACAAGGCTTTCTGTTTGAAAACCCACTCAGTCACGTCGAACACATGTATGCACTTCAAACCTGTCTTCACTGCTCACGTCTCATCTATACGTGTAACCAGGGACAGCAAGCTGACCATGTTGCTAAGGGAGTCGCTAGGCAACATGAACTGCAGGACCACCATGATTGCTCACATCTCCGCCTCGCCGAGAGATTTCTCCGAAACCCTCTCCACCATCCAGATTGCTTCACGCGTCCTCCGCATGAAAAAGAAGAAAACTAAAGTAACTGTGGTGAGTTTGATGTTTTCCTTCTGACTAAAATTAAACCGCAAATTCAACACGGCGTGTTAATGTCTGGCTACGACACAACCAGGAAAATAAAGTACTTGTAACTGACAGCGCACTCTCCTGAACTGTTATTGTAATACTGGCTGCATGTTTTATTCTTAGAAATCCCTGCAGGGCGGCTAAAATAGAGTTATCTCAGAAACAGAGTTACAACAGATGCGGTTTATTACATCGTTTCTCTTTTATGATCAGTTTTTTTCAGGAATGCTAAGAAAGGCAGAAACGGTTAAACAGAATGGCATTAAAAACAACATTTCAGATGTGAAATATTGTAACAGAATCTTAAATAACATTTAAATTCTGGTCTTTAATGTTTATGATGAGGCATTATATATTGACTAATTTATTGATGATTGCTTTATTTATTTATTCTCTAAATATAAATTTAAAATACAGCATGAGCTAATAGATTTAACTGCTTAAATGTATTTTATTAAGCTCAATACTTTTCATTATTGTGTGCAACATTACTTTATCAGCAGTTATAACATTAGTATTCTGTCTTAAAAAATATCACAAAAGCTGAGTCAGAATAAGCTTTATTCACCAAGGAAGGAATTTGACTTTAGATCCTCTTAATTTAGACTTTTAAAATAATTTTTAAAAAGCTAATTGATTTGATTTTTAAAAATATTATTGCTGTTAAAATGATGCTGCATATTGTTATAACTTTTATAGCTAGACAATAACTATAAAATGTGTTCAGATTACACTCTAAGAGAGAAACACGTCAGATGGAGCCTTACAAGTTAATATTAGCTGTTTAGCTTGACAGGTTGTCTGCTGTTTATCGTACTGACAGACGTGTTAACTGTTGCCTGGTCAAAACCTCATTTTTATCACCAGTTACAAGCCGCCTGATGTTGAAGTTTGATGTGAAGTCAAATTTCTTTTTAAATTGTTCTTGATATTATGCAGCATTGTCATAATGTCCCTTTAAAGGTGGCATTTTCATGGAAAAAGTCAAATTAAAACAAAAACAAATGTTAGGTACAACACTGATTATTTCTCATTCTCCGTCACTTTTACTCAGAAGCGTTTTGTTCTAAGAAAACAACCAGATAATTTGGGAACCGTATGTCTGACTCTTCTTATGTTTTAGATCTGCAACGATGTACAGATCCCTTTTCTTCAAAAATGTGAATATTTGGCTTATTTCAATATGTTCTTTCATGCTTAGTTTATTATTGAGCCAATAAACAAAAAAAATGTCACAACTTTAGATTATATTTAAAAAATTTATCTAAATAGCAACTTTGAAGATATTGGGTCAATTTCCCTGTAAGAAAGTTGTGCAACAATTTAAAAGATGAGACTAGTTTTACACAAACCTGTTGTAGTTTTTAATTTTGAAATTACTACTTTTAAAATTGCTTTGAAACAAGAAACTGTATGTCGGGTTATCAATTAAAATAAGAAAAAAAGGTAAAACGTTTGAATTACCTTCCTCACTGTCTTTTTGCAGCAGTATACGTCGAGTTCCTCTGGAGGAGAAAGCTCCTGTGAGGAGGGTCGTATGCGTCGTCCAACCCACCTGCGACCTTTCCATCACCGAGGCGACGCCGACTCCGAACTGCCGCTGCTGAGGCTATCCAGCGACCCGGACGAGTACTCCAGCAGTGAGCAGTCCTGCGACACGGTGATCTACGTGGGCCCAAACGGGGCGGCGGTGTCGGACAGAGAGCTGACGGACAACGAGGGGCCGCCGGAGTTTGTCCCGATTGTCCCAGCTTTGCTCCGCGGAAAAACACCTGAGCAGCATCAGATACAAGGGCAAGGTCCACCAACTGGAGTCCAGAACAAGGTCAGAGGTCAAGGTCAATCCACCTGAAACCAAATGTAAGGCAAAAACATAATTCACATAATCAGATTAAAGTCTTCCTGCTTTAGTTCAGTCAGGATTACCAAACTTCTTTATATTTGCTAAATGTCAGAATGAAAAAGACTTATGGAAAAAATATTACACTGTGATTCAATGCAACTCAAAAGTTATAAGTTTACATACTGATGATGTAAACTTTTGACTGGTTCATTCACAATATGTGTGCAAAATGGAGGCAACACCTCAAAACTACTTCCTCCTTGAGAGACATGGGGGAGAAAATGAAACAAAGTTATTTCAGACTTCCACGTCTTATTGCTCCTTAGGTACAAGTTGACAGATTGTGTCCCAGAAATTAATGTATTTTGATGCAAAATGTGCAAATAAAAGCAAAAAACATTGTGTAGAGGCAATGTACTGCCTGACACCAACAATCAGCTAGCAAGAATCCATCACACCAAAAGAAACGTGAGATTCCAGTTCCCAAAGCACTGCATGATAAAGACTTTAATTTTTGGAGACATGTCCTAAAGTCTGATCAAACTAAAATTTAAACAAAACAGATGATTTTACGAGGAAAGATCATTGTGTAGAAATATCAAGGCAACATTTCAATACATTTGCAAGTACAGTAAAGCTTAGGCAAAAAAAATGAAATTATACATTTTTATTTTATTAGGTTTTCTTTGATAGAGACAGACACATATTAACAGACAAACTGAATAAAACAGCAGCGGCTTATAGATTAGTGTAAATTTGCAGCACGTTTTAAACAGTACATCTAAAAGCTATTAAAAAGTGAAATGACAGTGATTTAAAATAATACAACATAATATTTTACTACATATACAAATACACAATACATATAAAGCAATAAAATATGAACATGTGACAATAAAAACATTAAGTATCAGTTTTTGACATAGCCAGAGGTTTGTTTTTTTTAACATACTGAAACTTACAGACTTTAAAGTTACAGATAAAGCCACCAAATTAGTTACGAAGTGGCTTAATTATAACTAGTTGTAATACTCAGTAATACTGAGGTCACGGCTTTGGAGCTGGCCTGACCTCAGTAACCTCATTTTGAGGAAAGCTTACAAACCTTCTCACTGTTTTGGCATTTAGCAAATAGAAATAATTGTGGTAATCCTAAGTGACCTAAACATGATTTCTTATTTGTGTAATTTACAGAAAAATATCTCATTTCAACTGTCTGAGCAGAATTACAGTGTATTAATTATCTGAATCCATTAAAAAACAATTCCAAGAAGCATTAGATTATTTATAACTTAAAGGTTTCCTTTTCTACTTTCAGGCTCAGACAGACGACCAGACCAGTGGCCCAGTGCCGCCGCAGCCCTCCCAGTCACTGGTTGGTCAACCATTGGCTCCAGTTCCAGAGGAAGGAGCCGAATGTCTCAAATGCAACACCTTCGCTGAGCTGCAGGAGAGACTGGACTGCATAGACGGCAGTGAAGAGGTAACAGATGCCTCCAATCATAAAAAAAATCCAAAGAAGCACACAGGAAAAGATCATGAAGATGATCTTAAACTATAAATCATTACAACTAAAAGATATTTGATTTAAATTGTTCTATGCAGTGTGCCCATTTTTTTCAATATATTTCAATATAATATTTCAGTTCTACTGTTTTTATGTTCAAAGCTAAATCACGTAGAAAAGAAAATCAGGTTGATATTAAAGCAGTTATTCTTTTCATTTCTCCAGGTGGCAAAATTTCCCTTTGAAGAAATTCCCGCAAGCAAACCATGTGCCAAGCAGGAGTCGTGTCCTTCCTCGTCTGCTCCAGGCTCTGCAGATGGGCTGGATGCCGAGCCCAAAACAGGTAATTTAACCAATGTACTGCCTGAGATTTAAGTTAATATCTCTTCCCAACATCTAAGCAACATGTAAAAAAACAAAACAATGGTTCTCTTTGTCCTTATAGTGCAGGTTGTTACTGTAAAAATGTTTCATTTTGGATACAAGCATAAAAATTAGCATGCTCATCCCTCAGGCAGTATGTTGTTCATATGTAGCCCCATGATTTCCAGGATGACTGCCATTTTGCAAGATGGCTGCCAATTTTGAGCCTTTTAAACCAATTATTGACATAAAATGTTACCAATTTTCATGAGTTTCACTTTTTGTCACATTATATGTTTTGTACTTTAATAATCTTATTGATACAACTTTAGATACTAATATGTAGAAAAGTCAGAAGCTGAGGAACGTCCTGTTTGTGAGTCTCACACCAGTTGTCAACCAGGAGGTGAAGATGTGTGACAGAGACAGAGATCTTCGTGGTTAACATTAGCATCCACTAATTTTTTTAGATGCTTACCGGATTAGCATTAGCTTTACTCATTTTTTGTTTTTGGCAGTTTAGTGTTAGCTTCCACTATTTTTTTGTGGTTAGCAGTTTAGCATTACTTTCAACTTATTTAGCTGCTTAGCACTAGCTTCCGCTAATTTTTTATGTGGTTAGTTGCTTAGCGTAGGTGGACCTCAAAATCTTGTTCTGTAAATTAGTGGTTGGTTAGCCGTGCCCTCCACTTGCTAAAACTACTGACAATTTTAGTGCAAAAATGTATTCTCCATTACAACCATCTTGAAAAATCGCATAAAATTATTGGTAAATGATTTCCCTGTCCAATTATTTATGATTTGCCACCAAACATATTCATCTGGGATAAATAAACAAATTTAGTGCAAAAATAAATTTTCTTTGAGGATCTTGGCGCCGCCGCCTGATTTTAATTTTGTATTAATGTTTTGTTTTTTCAGAAAGCGAGGCCCTGGGAACATGTTGCCAACTTAGTTTCTTGAGTCTGTACATGAAAGGTTTTACTGAAATATTAATTTACCTGCTCCTCTGCCAGCAGCCTCTAGGAGGAGAAGCAATGACCAGCAGCTTCAAGAGATCAAGGAGGTGGTGGAGGAGGCAGAGCTCGCCCAAACAATGATCCACAGTTTAGCTCAGGCCACTGGATGCCCCCTGGTTACCAGTACCAGGAGCATAACTGGGAGCAGCAGCATCGTCACCTCCAATCCCTTACACAAAGCCAAGAACTCCCAGCTACATGACAGGTGAGGGCTGCTGGCATCTGTATGCTGTCTCAACTCTGACATTTAGCTGTTTCTGCTGTTCTTGGGGGAATACCTGACCTCAACTGTCTCCTTTTGAAGCCGTGAGAATCTGAATGCGGTTGGCAATATTGAGGGGAAGGCTCGTCCTCTTGGGTCGCCGCGCTTGGGCATCGCAAGCCTGACAAAAACCTCAGACTACAGGTGGGGCATGAATTACGCTGGAACAATAATTTGAATATCTTCACATTAATAACAGCTTATAATATAGAAAATTTGTTTTTTATCGTTTCCGTCCCAGGCCTCCATCTTCCCCATCACAGCGATGTAAGGTGTACACTCAGAAGGGTGTAATGCCATCAACACCCCCACCGTCCTCACACAGCCTGGCTCAGGACGGCCAGGCCACTGAGGCTTTGACCTCCGACAGTAATTATTAGTATTTTTTATTTATTTTACATAATAAGCCGGGATTTTTCTGAGTGGCAAAAATAAAAGTTCAAGATATGGAGTGAAAATAGTCTTTTGTTACGTAAAATACGAGCATAAATCTCCTAACTACGAACGACTAATGGCGCAGTAACAGCATTGTTAGCACTCGAGATGTAGCAAAGCGGCTACACAGAAAATTAAAATACAACAGTAAAATAAACGGCAGTGGCACCTCTAAACGAGGACAAACATTAAAACATGACGTCAATTCAGACATTAATTACCGAAAATCTGGATTCTTCATTCATATGGCCATAAACTCGTTTTTTCCGACAGGTCTCGACTCAAACTTTTCTTTCTCTTCCGTTTTAGCCGTTAGAACGTGAGGAATAAATGAGAGATTTTTTCAACTTCCGGTAGTTTTTTTTCAACTTCCGGTAGTTTTAGACCTCTCTGTAACAGCAGCACCACCTGCTAACAAAAATAAGAATTACAACCAGAAGGTGAAATAAAAGCAAAACAGGGTTTACAAAATGGATATTACAAGTAATGGTACCCATTTTTCACCTGGTTACACATCATATATATATATATATATGTTGGTTATACGACTCAAGAGGAAAGAGACTGGAGTCAGCAGTTGTCGAGTACTCAATATTTTTCTTTACTTTTATCTTCTGTTTCATACCTTACAGTTCAGTTCCATTCAGTTCAGCACAACACATTTGTCAAAACAACAAGAGGGAGAATCTCCCCCTCATCTCAACCACCTGGTTTTTAAAGGATGGGCTCCCATCTGAACTAATTAGAGGGGTGGAGTCATTTTCAGCTACAAACAAACATGTGCACTAAACTATACCTAGAAAGTGTCTATCAAGTTACCATTAACTCAAACACAACTAAAAACAAAACAATCTGGAATCCAGTCAAAATAGAAATGCATCTCTCCCTCTCTGAAAATGGATTTTCCCAATGAGGCTGATTGGAAACACCAGGTCCTTGTCAGCGTTGCTCATGGGCGCGCTTCCATGGCAACACAGGACCAGGTGACCTCAAAGAGATGAGAAAGATGATTAAAGCAGATCAACCCACCTCCCAAAACAATACATTCACCCAAATAACCCAGAATATATAAAGAACATGCAAAACAGCACCTCTTAGGAAGGGGGTAAATCTCTCACAAAATATATATATATATATATATATATATATATATATATATATATATATATATCTCCTTCTATATTTAAAAATTTCATCTTGATTAAATTTCACAGTGA